AAAAAAGGACTAAAATAGAAAATTTCGTAACACTTCGAAAAATGATGCAGATTTCGAAAAAAACGATCTTCTTCAGTTTTGTAAAAATTTTTTTGACATAAAAAAAAAATTTTTCAAAAACTAAACACTAATTTATTGTAACAAGCAGCTTGCGTACTATCGAAGCATGTGTAAAAAATACGAAAATAAAATTTTTTAACGAAATTTTGAATTGCGTACACCTTCACTAAAAGATCATTTTCTCCTCGTTTTGCAATGTTCCCATGTGCTCATGATTGAATGATTTAGGAAAAGAGGAAGAAAAGTAATTTTTTCGCCTGTTCTCTCTTATACGACGGTGGAATATTTAGAGAAACGTATATCACTGTTGGAACACAAACACTCGTTCTCTTCCAAAACATTTGGTGATCCAGTTCAATCATCGAAACAGCAACGAAAGATGTACTGCGCCAATATCAGTGAAGCAAATAAGAAGAAGCATCGTGGTCATGAATCCAAGATTGAAACCGTTTTGTCGGCATCGTCTGCTAAGCTTCATATGCATATAAGCAATACGGATCCATCAACTGAAAATTTTATCACTGTAAACTCATCAGACAAGAGTAAGTCAAGCAATGAGATGATCGAGAGCTAATTTCCATGACACATATCAAATCATTAGCATTTTCTTCATAAAGTCGCTTTTTAAATGGTTATGAGATCATTCAGTTCTAAAAAAGAAAAAATTCTAATTGAAAAGTTTACTCCTGTGCAACAAATTTCCACGAGAATGGAGCAATATTAAATTCCTTAGCGAAGCAATAAAAATCTTTCTTGAGATTTCAATCATGCGCTAGGAGATTTCGCTGGTCGCTATCACTCATCATCTTCACCTCAAAACAATTTTATAAGGTTTGAGTCAAAGTTATTGGCGAAAGTAGAATGGGTAATCTACACAATATTTATTAGTATCTTATTGAAGTTCATATTTTTTTTTGAAGACAAGTCTTTTTCATGAATACGAAAGCGCATCTTTTCAATTTAAATCATTGCTCATTCGTCTTCTTTTTTCTTTGTTAAGTGACAGTACTATTCGGCCCAAATCGACCGGATCTTCTGAGACACGAAGTGCTTGGCCAAATCTTTATTCGAACAGCTTTGCAATATCCCAATAAAGTGGCTCTTCTTTGGCAAAACGAGAAGATCACTTATTATCAATTATATCAACAAGCGATGGAAATGGCAATCATATTGTATCAAACACGACATGTTGGTCCGGGTAGTATCGTTGGTATTCGACTTAGTCGTTCAGCTCAATTGCATGTAACGATTCTTGCCGTTCTATTTACCGGAGCTTGCTATGCTCCATTCGATGCTGATGCTCCAGACGAGCGTGTTCTCGAAGTACTTGCAGATATTGAAGCTACTCTTCTTCTTGTCGATTCACAAACTTCTATGAATCATTCATTAGTTGTCGATATTGAAACTTTAAAGAAACATACCATCTCAGATCATATTCATTTGTCACTCAATATTGATCCAAAATCGATCGCCTATATTATTTGTACTTCCGGTTCGACTGGAAAACCGAAAGCTATTGCTATCACTCATTCCAATATTTGTCATTTTATCCGTGCTGGCAATGAAATCATGAAAATAACAAAAGATGACATTGTCTATCAAGGTTTTTCAGCTGCTTTCGACGGGTTTTTCGTTGAAACATTTGCTGCCTACCTTGTTGGAGCCACTCTTGCAATTCCTTCAAAATCTGACCTGCTTAACACTGATCGTATACATGTCTTCCTAATAGATCATGCAGTCACCGTGCTAAGCACTGTGTCTACCTTATTACTTCTCATCAATAACGATCCAGCACTTAGACTTCGACTAATCAATGTTGGAGGTGAATCTTGTCCGCAGGTAAATTTTACAATTAAGCTCTTATCAATCATAAATTTTACTTTGTAAACACAATACAGTCAGTAGGAAATCTATGTTTCAATGTCCAGATATAACTTCAATCGAAAGAAAATAGCTAAGGATTTTTATGCACTTCAAACGGAGATCGAACGGATGCTTGACCGAGCAGATGTTTTGGGAATCAGAAGTGAGTCGCAAAAATATTAGCAGCCGCTTTCGAATGCTCCATATGATTCTCTGTCTTGATCAGGCGGTATGATATATAGAGTGCCATTTTTTCATCGTAGACATCAGGTACGCTGGCTAAAAATTGAACATAATTCGGAATTGATTGTGGTGATACAATAATTCCGAAATTTCATATACGACTGTGGACTGTAGTTCGCAGGAACTTATCAAAGTAAGAGAGATCGAATAAATTTCTATCATTACAATAAAAGCTTGCAGAATGTCATCAAAATCTAAAGCAAGTTGCCAAGTCACCAAAAATGAGATTCAATGGAAAAAATTCGAAAATCTCCAATGAAATGGACTCTGAATCATTAGTATCATAAAAGTTCGCTATTTCAACTTTCGATTAGGATTAATATGATCAAATATGAGTAAAAACAGCGAATAAAAGTTTTTTCTATGCAATTCGTAGCATTCGGTTAAATGGAGTAAGACATTTTGGTAGATGGAAAATCTATTTTTGTCTTTTGACACAAATCAAAATCTTTTAACTCAATGAAATATGATCAGTTGTTGAACTGAAAAAAACGAAAGTTTTGTATCATATTTCTTTGATCAGGCTGTCGTTGATCGTTGGTGGAAAGAAGATAGACGAATTATAAACCAATACGGTCCCTCAGAGACTACTGTCGCTGCTACAACGTCGCTACTTTATCCTGGAGAACAAATAAGCATTGGTGCACCGTTACCAAACTATGTCTGCTGCTTACTTGATGAGGAAACAGGCCAGCCAACTACTGCTTCAACCGGTGAACTGTGTATTCGTGGACCGGGTGTGGCTTTAGGATATTTTCGGAACAATTCGTTGACAAAGCAAAAATTTACCGAATATGGCTATCGCACTGGCGATCGTGTTACATTTGATCAAGGACGAATATATTTTCATAAACGAATCGACTCTCAAGTGAAGATTCGTGGATTTCGAATTGAGCTTACTGAAATAGAAGAAGAACTATTAAAATTACATGGTGATGTTCAATCGGCCGCTGTTGCCTTTCTGAACGGCCAACTTGTTGCTTTCATTCTCGGTCAACTGAATGAAACGACCATGCGTACAGAACTTGGTAAACGACTACCTCGTTATATGATACCCAATCGATTGATTCATGTCAAAGGAGCGATACCTCGTATGGCTAGTGGAAAAATCGATCGAAGAGCTCTCAATGCTCTATTTGTCGACGAATCTAAAAAAATGAGCACACATGAAACACGAATCGATATTGGTGAGTTGATTGAAAGAGATTTTGTTCAACGTCGACCGAGAAGAACTTTACGTCAAGAACGAATAATTATTCTTAGTCTTTCTTGAACAGAACATCGGATTTGTTCGAGCAAAACTTTTCACATAGAATAGTTTTCTTGGTAATAAGCGTGAAAGTATGCAAAATTTTTAGTTCTTTATATAGTAGTCAATGAATTTACGCGTATAAAGAATGTCATATAAAGGGTGTCCTAGAAATATTGAAACGATTTTAAAATTCACTGTTTTCGCATTCTACAAAAGCAGAGTCTTTGAAACTTTGGCAGATTATGGAATATGCTTAGTACTACATAAATATAAAGTTTCAGATCTATAGCTTGCACTATGTATAAGAACCTGTAACAAGACTATCATGTACTATTTTTCACTTTTCCTGATCATCTTGAATATTATTTAATACTTTGAGGGCAGTACGACATATTTGTGCCACCTATTTTTCAGTAGAGAAAAAAGTGTTTTGTTTATATTAAACTGTTAGATCTAGAAGGATATATAGGTTATAGGTGACATCATCTATCATCACACACTTGCCTTTTCTTTTTTTTTCTTTCTCTCATATAGATTCTTTTTAAATGTTCTCTATTCTGTCTGTTACTGTTCAATGACGTCATAATTTCTCCCTTTTCTTCTGACCCTTATCTTTCGAGAATATTTCTCCTCTCTATAGCGCTTTTATATATAGATGCTGTTGCTGTAATTGATGAATTTGGGTTGTTCTTCATTTTGACAATGAAATGTATTTGCCTGTGAAAGGAACATGAAGATGTGCTGCCTGTAGCACAAAGAAGTGGAAATGACATCCAACATCGGATGCATGACTTGCAAAATAACATTCCGTTTACAAGAAGAGAAACATTGGTTTTATTTTTGATTATCATAAGATTTTCATGTAATCATTTTGAGCTAAATAGAATTTTAAAAAATGATAAGAGAACTACTTTTCGACTGAAAAATACTCCGTCCTTAAAGGGTTAAAAAAAAGCTACTGCAAATAAAAAGGAAGAAAAACCAATGGCTATCAATGTTTCCGTATTTGATGACTACCTTGATTGATTACTAATTTCAATCCTGCTGGTGTGTTATCCATCACTCGTTGACATAAAGCTTACTAAATTTGTTCTATTCCTTTTTAATGACGTTTTTCAATTGTTCAATATTACTGTGTTCTCGTCCTTGTAGTTTCTCTTTTAATGCATCCCAAACGTTTTCTATAGGTCAAACGTTGGCTAATTTTGCTGTGCAATTTTTTGGTTCAATTTGATTCATAAAAAACATGTTTAACAGTACCCAAAGTCGCCCCTTTGTTTATCATCTTGATCATCTTGAAAAATAACATTTCGTGAGTTACTAATTCTTTAGCTGTTTTTCATGCTACAATAGTTTAAATGAATTTCGTATATTCGTCATCAATAAAACACATTTTCTTATGACTATCACTAGCTTGTAATCTGATGAGCGTTAACCATTCATTGATAGAAACTGGAGATTATTGAGCGACTTCTATATCGAATTTTGTCAATATAACTCATACGAAAACTGAAAAAATAGTGCATGATAGTCTTGTAATACGTTCTCGTGGATAGTACAAGCTATAGATCTGAAACTTTGTATCTATGTAGTATTAAACATGTTCTATAATCTGCCAAACTTTCAAAGACTTTGCTTTTATTGAATGCGAAAACGATGAATTTTAAAATCGTTTCAGTATATCTTGGACACTCTTTATGTGGTGTTTCGATAGTGACTAGAACTAATATTTGCATTACATATACTAGGCCTCTTGATCTAACCTTTTTTTTTTAGAACGAGAACTTTCTGTTTATTAGATACTAAATGAATATAAAGTTCTTGAGCCACAAAATACTTTTTCTCTCTATCTCTGAGCACGATATTTTAGCCTCGCTTATATGCCGTCACGAATATTTGACAGAATCCTTTCTTGACCTCGTGGCGAATCATCACGACCATCAGAAGCATCTACCTTTATATTTACAACCGTTTTCTCGTGTTTGACGTTTTTTCTGAAGAGATTACCTCGAACACTTTTTAATGATTGAACAAGTCAAAAAGAAATTGTTAAGCCAAGTTGTTATTATCAACAGAGTGAGTCTATGTAGTAAAAGTTCTCGAAGAAATTAGCAGAATAAAGTAATGGTCAACTTTTCTGAGTTATTGATTAGATGGCTTTGTCTTACAGAAGTTTTTCATTGATCTCATATATTATATTTTAGAAGAAAGTACGTGTAGTCCAGACAATGCAAGGAAAGATACTTTAACTATCGTACTGAGTACGTTTGAAAAGATTTTATCACATTCTCAACCAAATCCAAATAATGATTTCTTTCTTGATCTTGGTGGCCATTCAATAACTGCTGCAATTACCGTGAGCAAACTTCGAGATTTATTTCCCAATATTAGTGTACAAGACTTGTACGAATGTAAAACGGCGGCAAATCTTGCTAAATGTTTGACGATGAAATATAATAGCCAATCCAAGATCATTCCAATTTCAACTATAACAAGTGAGAAGCCAACATGGATGAGAAAAACTTTCTGCAGTATCATCCAAGCTCTTGTCATGATTGTCCTTGCTGCGGTTGCTTCACTCGAACTAATTTTACCTTACCTTACTTTTGAATTATTGTTGCAACATTATGGTATTAGTATTGCGTTTCTCATGGGTTACGGAATATGTGTGGTCGTACCACCCTTTATAATTCTTCTAAGTATTATAGTCAAATGGATTGTTATCGGTCGATACAAAGAGGGGGACTTTCCTCTATGGAGTACGATGTATTTACGATGGTGGATTGTTGAACGTTTTCGACACCTAGGAAAACCGAAGTACTTCTCTGAGACAATGCTCATAGTTTGGTATTATCGATGCCTTGGAATGAAGATTGGTCGAAATGTTTACCTAAGTGTTATCGATTGTTCAGCAACAGATCTAGTGGAAATTGGCGACGGAACAACAATATCATCCGATGTCAATATGCAGACCGCTTTTGTTGAGAATTATACACTCAAATTTCGACGCATCCGTATTCAAAATGATGTTTACATTGGTGATCGGTCTGTTCTGGCTGGCCGAACAATCATGGAAGATCATTCTCAACTGAATGATTTATCTTTTCTTCCTTCAAATACTCGTATACCGGCTGGTGAATCGTGGCAAGGATCACCAGCAACTTATTTAACTTCGAATTCTTCTCTTCAATCGCTAGAAAAGAGAAATAACGATGCATTGATCACAATGTTTACTTCAGTGACTTTTGGTATTATCGCTTTGTTCTTACTTCCACTTCTATACTTCGTTCCGACAGTGCCTGGTTTACTTCTATTTAAGTCCTTCGATTCATCATCTATGTCTACTTGGATTCAAATCATTATATTTTCTCCAGTACTTGGCATTTTGTACACATGCTTACTTACCCTGGAAATAATTCTGATACGTCTTCTACTTATCAGAAAAATCAATGAAGGTATATATAGCACGAAATCATTAATCTTTATTAAAAAGTGGACATTTGATCGGTTGTTAGATATTAATTCGCATTTCATTGGCTCTCTCTATGGGACAAGTTTCATTGCACCGTTTCTTCGAGCGTTGGGTATGCAAATTGGACATCGCTGTGAACTATCAACAGCTGTTGGAATGATTTATTCATTGGTCAAAATTGGCAATGAAAGCTTTATTGCTGACGATGTTATTCTTAGTAATCCTTATGTTTATCGAGGTCAAATGCACTTGCGCAAAACAATTATTGGCGACCGAGTTTTCATCGGTAACTCAGCGGTTATCTCAGATGGTAGTCAAATTTCAAAAAAATGTTTGATCGGATGTATGTCAGTAGTAGCCAAGGAAATGCAAGAAGGACAGTCGTGTTTGGGATCACCACCAATACTACTTCCAAAACGTGCGGCGCCACGACAAAAGATTTCAGACGAACAAACTTATCGTCCACGTACCCATCTTCTGATCGGACGATTTTCCATTGATACAATACGGATTTTCTTACCTCGAATCATAATTGTCTTCGAAATTTTTACTAGTATGGAAATCTTCAATAACTGTAGAATATCAGTTGGCATCGGTTTCACGTGTCTTATTCTACCTATACTCTATATTGTTCTATTTGGTCTACTATCACTCATTATTTGTATTAGTCTCAAATGGCTTTTAGTGGGTAAATACAAACGCCAGCAACATGCTTTATGGACCTGGTATGTTTGGAAATCGGCATTTATCACAGCCATGTATGAGCAGCTAGTCGTTCCTCTTGTAATTGAATTTCTTTACGGAACATATTTTTTACCGCTAATCTGGCGATGTTTTGGCGTTCACATTGGTCATGGATGTTTTATTAACACACCTGATGTGACTGAATTCGATCTGATCCATATCGGAAACTATGTAGTGTTGAATGATGCAGCTGGAATTCAAACGCATCTTTTCGAAGACAGAATCATGAAGTTGGGCTCTGTTTATGTAGAAGATGAATCGACTCTCGGATGTACATCGATTATGCTGCCAAATACAAGACTAGGCCCAGGAGCCCATTTGGGACCACTTAGCTTGGTTCTTCAAGGTGAAATCATTCCTGCTGGCTCTTCATGGCAAGGTATACCAACAAAACCGACATCCCAAATCGAATAATTGCCATCGATATAATAGGAGTGATTTTACAGCAGCATAAAACATTTTTTCTTCTATTTGATAAAGGAAACAAAACTTCTTTTTTTGCTTTAAAACTTTTTTTTGTTTATTTTATTTTAAATCGACGTTTCGAAGATTCTATCTTCATTTTCAAGGTTTAAATTACACAATATTGAGTTTATTTTTACCTAGAACAAACATAAAACAAAGAGAACAACGTAAGTAGGTTATAACAAATAGAAATAAATTAACCTATAAATACCTCTATAAGACATGCAAAGAGATAAATAAACTTTTATTTATTTCAAGGTCCTCTTCATGAGTAGTTGTTATTGTTATTGTGTTGTTTTATTTTCACGGTTGGTTTCTTCAATATTGGACCTTCAGAAAA